AGAGTAATTCAAATACTTGTTATGTGGATGCACTTGGACCTCACTAATGCTACATTTCAACAGCAATACTCTGCCTTACTGAAGAGGATATCGAGGTGACAAAAACGGCCCTGGCATCTCTGTTAACGAAGGAGCCACAGTTCAGGCAATGCTATCGCTCGTGAGTTTCTTTTTACAATCCCGGGACCACTAAACTGCTCCACACTAAACTGCTCCACATTAAACTGCTCCACTAAATGCTAGGACTCATCTCTGGTAGTGTATGCAGGATATACAGCCCTGATATCTGGTTACTATATGATGTTTTATTAATCTAGTCCTCTGTCAATACTCTTATTAGTACTTACTTATAGAGAACAATGAATAGCCATATCAAGGAAGAGACAACACTAGTTCTTTCTTGGCAACTCCAAAATAACTCAGACTCTCGGTTTATTGTATAAAGATCCAGCTTACATAGATCACAGCATACAGTAAAAAAAATTGTTGCACATTTTCACCAATGGGAATACAGAACAGGGCAAACAGAACACACAGGAAAGAACTGTCTAAAAAGTGATTAATTACACTAGTTCCACCTCCAACTCCCCCCCCCCCGAATATTCAAGCCCATTCTGACAAAAAATGGTTATCTTGACTGCCTCTTCAGAGCAATTTCTGATTACATTAACACAGCCATGCAGTAGTAGATAACATGTAGACTTGCTGGGTCCCACAGCACATGGTCACTTACAGTACAAAAGTTAACTTGATCACATACAAATTGCATTTCACACCTGAATATATTTTATGCCTGCATACAGAGTAGCTGCCCGCCCTCTCCTCCCCCTCTTTTGACCCACAGCTGCATATACAGAAACACACTGCTCTGTGTTTAATACAGGTACACAATGTAGAGATGCCTGCAATAAAGAGATGCCTATGTACATTGCAAGCAGTCACAAAATGGTTCTACTTGTGCAAAACAAATCAGGAAATCAGGCCATCTATCACAATCATAATAAAATATAGTAGAACTCTTATATTCTATGAGGAAAGATAAGAGAAATAAAAGTAACTAGAGAACCAAGGGAAAGAAAAATATATGCTGAAAATACCATTAATAAAAAAGCATAAAAATAATAAAAGAAAAAAGCAATAATGAGCTATAAAAAGTAAAAAAATGGAAAAGAAACATTTTGAAAAAGAAAACCTTTTTAGAAAAATAAAAATAATCCAATTTCTCTTGGACTCCATTTAAATTGCTCCAGTATGATAATGACTCCTTTACAGATATTCTAATTTTAGAAAAGTCTTTTTCTAAAGTCTAAAACTTTTGTTTTTGTGTGGTGTGACTCACTGTTCTTATGTTAAACCACACTGACTGATGATCACTGGATCCCAAACTTTCACCTACAGTAATATCTGATACCAAATCTCCATTTGTTAACACTAAATCTAGTATAGCCTCTTTAAAAAAAATATGAGACTGTATACATAAACAGAAAATGAGAGCACTCCATATATATTGTTAAAGTGAAATATAATGTGCATTAGGCAAACAAAAACATCAATATTTCAAACTTGCAGGGTCTTTAACAAGATTAAAGACCCAACATAGTGAAAATGTAGATTTATTTTTTTTTGCTAATACACTTTATATTTTACTTGAAATCCAGTGAGTGTTCTCTTTCTATATAAGGTCTGTTCATGAAATGTCCAGCCCTTATTAATATAGCGAGAATGGTGTGTGCAACATGGATGTAACCTGGCAGCCAAGGAGAGTGGACTGGAATGTGCATGTGTGAACAATGATGACTTCACAGTACTAGTCAGTGGAGGTGCTAGACACTGTTGAGTAAGCATGTGTACTGTGTAGCCATTGCATTCAAAATGACTAGAGAAACAAATCTGCATAAAATGTTTGTGTTAAGCTTGAACATTCCTCCGTGGAAACTATTTGAATGATTCAGAAGGCTTTTGTGAATGAATCAATGAGTGCAATGGAAATAAAAGTGTGTTGCAAATGCTTCAAATATGGTCGACAATCTGTTGGAAGATTTGGCGCCCAGCAACCTCTGGCTTTACCAAAACGAAAACCACCCTTGATAAAGAAGAGATTTCAGACCGTCGATGAGATAAATAAGAGTGTACTTAGTTTTTCACAAATGGCTTCTCCAGTTTGACTTTATTTTTGTTATAATAGGTCATGTATTGTTGTTCATCTGAGGTTGTATTTACCTCATTTTAGAACTTGTTGATTGTTAATATGTATGCGAAAACATTTGAATTTTTTTTTTTTTGTTAAAAACTATTTACCAGACAAATACATATCACATACCGCACCTTGAATATGTAGGAATGTATTTCTCTGAATTGTCACAGTGGGGAAATTCTAAAGCCAATGGATTGGTGTCAGATCCATGAGACATAGATAGAATATAAACCTTGCATTCTTTGAATTCCTCAATCACCTTTCTATATCTTACCCTAGTTCTGCATCTTAAAGATAAAGTAATGATGTCCAGGACTTGATCTAATAAAAGGGGATGTGTTAACAGCTTATCAGGGTCTCAATCCACATCAGCTTCGGAAGCTTGAGCAAAAGATCGCTGGTTCCTTGAAAGCAGTCCACAGTCAAGCCCAATGGGATCTTGGTTCCCTTGACTAACTGTTGGATCAAGGAAGACCAGGGTCTGGAGGTCCCTAATGGGTAAACGAGAACTAAACTCAGTACCTTGTCCTTGCAGATCTTCTCAGGTATTTTCATCAGGAGAGATAGAGAGGGAAAAGCATAAGCGACTGGAACATCTGTCCATTGGAAAGACAGTGCATCCATTTTCCAAGCTCCCTTTGTCCAAATCCTGGAGACAAATCTGGGAGTTTGTGCAGATGTTTGGGATGCAAACAGGTCTACTTGTCTCTGGGCAAAATTGCTTTCTATCCGTTGGAATAGAGCCATCTTTAATTGAACCATTGCCAGAGATAAACTCTGGCAAGACAGAGAATCTTGCCTCTCCCAGAACGTATTCTGCAAAAATCTGAACTTTGTTTGCTAAAGCCCAAGACCAAAGATCTAGAGCCTCCAAACAAAGACCTCTGGATCTTGTCCCCCCTCTGTGGTTTTTATAAGCCACCGCTATCCTGTTGTCCGATTTAACTTTTACAAACACTGGTAAATGGTTTAAAGGAACTAGGCCATGGAGAGCAAATTTTATTGCTCTTAACTCCAAGATGTTTATATGAAGGAGTCTCTCTTGCTCTGACCAAATTCCTCTTATCGCCTTTGGGATGTGAACGCACCCCTACCGTGATTTGAGGCATCTGACGTCAGAGTAACTGCAAATGGCTGCTCTAACAGGGAACAAGGAAGAGCGATTCCTAACCCCAGAATAGACTTCAACTCTTCTCTGACCTTCTTGGAGAGAAATAATTTTGATTCCCAACGGCCACCCTGTCTTAATCAATTCCCTAAAAACAGCTGACTTCTTCTGCAAAGTAAAGGGGAATCGTCGTAGGCTGGTGTTAAAGCTAATAATTTCCCAATAATCTTTGCCAGATCTTTCAAGGACCAACTCTGGTGTAAGTATCAATAATGTTTCTCATTTGTACTGAAGGCATAGTCTAGTGACATAGTCCTTTGGGTTTCGTACAAAACCCAGAAAAAGATTGCTTTGAGTGGGAATTAGGACTGATTTCTGTAAATTCACTGCAAAAGGGATCTAAATGCATTAGCAGGATGTCGTCTAGATAGTACAGACACCTACAACCTCTTAGTCTTACATGGACTATAACATATTTCATTATTCTGGAGAATGTGCATGGTGCATTGGATAGGCCAAACACCATAACAATCCACTGCCAAACCTTTCCTTTCCACAGAGACCTGAGGAAACTGTTTCTTTGCAAAGGTACTAAATGGAAGGAATCTAACTTTATGCAGAATTTTTTTTTACAAAAAGTAATAAGCGTCTGTACTAAGCCTGCAAGATTTGATAAATCCTCCATCCTGAACCTTTTTTTCTTGATGAAAGCATTCAGAGATCTCACATTTAGAACCAGTCTCAAGGTACCATCTGTTTTTGGGATAGAGAACAGTTGACTGACTCATCCTGTGATAGACATGTCTCTATCTTCCCTTAATTTAATGATAGAGAAAGGGAGGCATCTAGCACTGGGCTCACTTCTCTGCTGGGTGGAAACTTCTGAACTAGGAACCTTCAAAGGGGGAATTGTAAACCCCTTTGAAAAATCTTTACAACCCATTTGTCTGAAGAAATATTCTTCCAAATTAGTGGCGTGTAAGGAGGCACACTTACCTGAATGCATAGGTTTTCTCTTGGAAGCTGGACCACCTCTGGTATGAGCTCCATTGCACAACCAGGGAGCTTGTGTTTTTGTCTGTAGTGGCAGTACTGGGCCTGGTGAGATACTTCTAAGGATGCTACTGCAGCCCAATAGGGGCGACACCTTATCCAAAAGGGTTTTTTGTAGCCAGGAGAGGACTTTTTGAGCTCTGAAAAGGATCTCCTTGCCTTATAATGGCTTTTAACCTCCTGAATAAACAAGAACCAAAAATGTAAGAATCCTTCAAATTTTGGAAATTATTTGATTTAGGGGCTAGATCAGACATTCCTGCTGCATGAAGCCAGCAGGTTCTGCTTATTTTTGAGATGTAAAAAAAAGGACTGTCTGTTGGATGATTTAAAAAAAGCCATCTTCAGAAGCCAGATGTCAACAAAGATGAAGCAGAGAGTTTCTGAGCATTCCCTTCTTTTTCTGCTTTATCCAGCATCAGTAATAGTGGTCCCATGGCATTAGCAATTTTAAACTGTATCTCACGAAAGGTCTGGTCTGTGGGATCTGTAGATACACTGCTCCTTGTGATAAATAACAGAGCAGGATCTACCTCGGGAGCCATTAAAGCTTGGATGTCCAGGAAACTGATGTGGTTCCTGAGGAGAAGATCATCCCCCTTAACTAAGGGGAATCTAAAGGCTTGTTTGGCAAAAATCTCTAACCTCAGAATTGTGCTCCATGGTCCATCTGTAGTGAAATAATTTAGATGGGAGAGTCTTTCCGAGAAGACTCACTCTAGCCATCTGAACATTGCTAACTTTCCGTAAATCAGTGGAAGCTGCTGAACGGACCATTTCCTCAGACTCTCGATCTATTTCTGGAGAGCCATGTCTAGAACTAGATTGGCTTTGGGAGGAAGAATGACCAAACGCTCTAGAAGAGAAAGGAAAAGCACTATCTAACTTCCAACGTGATTTGTCTTTTTTCTCTGGAAGGTGTATCTGGTGCTAAAACGAGGGAAAAACACTATTCCTCTTTTAGGATTCTGTCCCTTTATTTTGTGCTCACTCAAACTATCATGAGGGGAAGGTGGAGCAGAAAAATGATCCTCAGAAAAGGAATAGCCACCTTTCCTTATCCTTATAATAGATGATTAAGATTCTTGGCAAGGAAAGCTCTCTTACGGAGCTTTCTAACAATTATGTGGCTGCCTATAGGAGAGGCATCCACCATAACTGTGGCAGACACTGATATGGAGTCTTCCATCATCTATGCCATTTTAAAAATCTGAGGTAATCAGGATTCCTGCGCTCAGCATGGCTCTCCTGATTACCTGATTAGCTGAAATGCTATTGCTGTGCAGGAGCACAGAGCAAGTATTTTTCAGCTTTGGTTTTTAACTCCAGGAGCTTGGATGTTATACCTCCCGGAGGACAAAAGTATAAAACATGTTTGCCTTGGGGAACCCAAAGCCTCTCTTCTTGACATGTTAAACTAATTTCTTTGGGTTTCTCGGAGAGATGCCTTTTCTCAGCCTTCTGGTTTATCTCTTGTTCTCATTTCCTACTCACTTTTATTTTCATTTTACTTCTTTCTATACCTAATTTTTCTTTGTATTCTTTCTCCAGTTCTTCATTCTCTCCCCCTTGCTGGAACGTTTCTGATACTTATCATTGATCCCCTTCTGTAACAAATAGTTTAGTTTAGTTTTAATTACAAAAAAGGCAATAACAGCTAGGTTTGATGCAAAATTAATGAATGATTGATAGATAGATAGATAGATAGATAGATAGACATCTGGTTTATCCATGTAATCAACGATAAACCAGAACAGTAATTTTTCTTTGATTGCCCTAGATCATCATTTCTCACACGGGTTGAATTTTTCAGGTTTGTTTTTCATAAACAAGTAAATATTGTGTTTAATATAAACGCAATGTAGCAAGGCCATTAAGCTGACTGTACGTTGTTAATATTTAGAGCACATTGATAGACAGAATAGCAGATACTTTCATTGCACGAGAAAACACATACTCATATAAAACAGGTAGAATCACAAAAGCCTTATTCAACCATAATGAGCAGAATGGCATGGCCATATTTAACAGTGTTCGAGCAATTCTTAGTGCCAGGGTTATTCCTTTTACTATAAGTATTGGTCTTGAATTCTCAATGTAGAACTAATTTAGCCTCTATAAATGCAACTCTACATTACTCTACATTAGATGGTAACCCCCATTAACCAATATATAGAATTCTGAGAAACAGAGATCAACAGAATAAAAAAATTCTAAGAGTTGCAGTTTGTAACGTGTTTTATATGTCCTATTTATTTTACAAAATAGAAAAGCAAAGAAAATGTAAAAGCATTTCATGTGGTGATCAGGGTGTACAGACTCAGTTGCAAGGATATGCTAATAATTACACACATAAGATGTTCAAAACATTCACTTAAATGCAATTATCTGTGTATATATGAAAATACAGAGTGCTTATTCACTAGACGGGTTATTCACTAAACACCCAATCTTCTCTGGATGGACAAAATCTGACTAAATTCTTACTGCAATGGCAAGTCTCATATTTGCTAAAGCTAAATCCAATCAGAATTTGGTTGGACAAAGCAAATCTGCAGCAATGGCCCAGATGCATTCTAATCTCTCCCCTTGACCACCATTCATTGGTGGGGGTAGAGGCCCTAATTATAATATGCAGCAGGAGGATTAGTATGCCCCCCCAGGCCTCCACCTAGGGCTGGCATATGGGGGCTCTAAATGATTAAATAATGGGGGGTTGGCATACCATTGTCTAACCCTTGTGCAAAAGTTATATCTGAGTTGTACTAAGAAGATTCTTAATGAAACACTCCCTAACTGCTACATCCTACTACAGTGATAATGCCAGGAATGGCATGGTGCCCTCTTACAGTAGTCAAACAATTTATGAATGGTTTGACTTTTTAACTGGGGCCTGCCTCTTCTGCAGCTGTAAGTTGTGCCATTGAGCTAACTTGGATGTTGGTAAACAGTTTGACTACTTATTTCTTAAAAGGACAATGTAGGCACCCAGACAACCTCCGCTCATAAGTGCCCAGAAGTGGTCTGGGTGCTGTGTCCCTTTTGCACTTAGTGTTGCAATGTAAAACATTGCAGTTCCAGAGAACTAAATCTTTAAATCCTTAAATTTAAATCTGTTTAGTTTGGAAAAAAGGCGTCTGAGAGGGGATATGATAACATTATACAAATATATTAGGGGCCAGTACAAACCTTTATCTGGAAATCTATTCATAATCAGGACTATACATAGGACACAAGGTCACACATTTAGGCTGGAAGAAAGGAGATTTCATCTAAGGCAAAGGAAAGGTTTTTTTACAGTAAGAGCAATAAGGATATGGAATTCTCTGCCTGAAGAGGTGGTTTTATCAGAGTCTATACAGATGTTTAAACTGCAATTGGATAAATACTTGCAACAACATGTAACTAAAGCTATGTAAGTATGTAACTATGTAACATTGCAGCTCTAAGTCTGCCCTCTATGGCTCTCTAACAGACAGTCACTAGAGGGCTTCCGGAATCTAAACAGACTTTTGGTCCGTTATCTGACGCTGGACGTCCTCATGGACAGATTTTCCCCATAGGAAAACCCTGACCCAGTGCTGAGGGACATCGGCGCGGAATTCAGGTAAGTGGCTGAAGGGGTTTTAACCCCATTCAGCCCCGCGGGAGGGGGGCTCGAGGGAGGGGGCACTACAGAAGCCTATAGTACCAGGAAAACCTGTTTGTTTTCCCGGCACTACAGGATCACTTTAAGATAAATATTCTATGCAATGACAAGACACAACATTAAAACCAACTGCCCCAGGGTGTGGCTGAGTGCGGAATGGGAATATTGCAGCAAACACTGCCTTGTCACTTGCCTGAAAGGGATCTAACCTTAACTACCACAATGGCACCGGCAAAGCAGACAAAGCTCACTGACTCGTTCCGCCACGCTAAAAAAGACCACTCGCAGCCTATACAAGATGGCGATGAGTGTCCAGCGTTCTCACAGACGTCGGAAAACCAGCCAGACTCAAACAAAAAACTGGCAATTACACTGATGCACCGAGAAACGGTTGTATGCTATGCTGCAGGACTTTCGGTTCACGCTTAAATCTGACCTCAAACAAGTGACATGTGAAATAAAACGGGAAATCTTGGAATTAGGAGAAAGGACAAACTGCCCGGAGGTTCGTACTGAAGAGCTCTGTTCAGAGCACAATGAACTGGCTGACACTGTACAACACTTGGCTCATGAGCACCTCCAACTCAAGCATAAGCTGGCGGACATGGAGCTTCTGCGGGATCCCAGAAAATGTAGCAGCGGATGTACTGTGTGACTACATTCTGGGACTCTGTAAATCACAGCTGCTGGGTGTTATGGACAGTGAGTAGCTGCTAGACAGGGCCCACCGCTTGCAGGGGCCTCCAAGGCTGGCCCAAGATACGCCATGGGATGCGGTGGCACTTTTTCATTATTTTAAAACTAAAGATGCACTGCTAAATGAGGTAAGAAAGATCACCAATCTGCCAGAGCTTTACTCCGCCATTCAGCTATATGTGGATCTGTTGGAATTAATCATTACGCTTAGAAACAACAACGTACAATATCGCTGGGATACCTTACTAAACTAATCATATGAAGTAGTGGAAGAAACCACGTTAACAATAACCCAAAGGTGGGCATGCGCCTCATGAAAGAATGGGGACTTTTTCCTATCCAAGCACCAGCAGAGCTGGCTGCCGTATCACCAAAATGTATCCAGGGAGAGTGGCAAATGGCGGGATCGCCTAACAAGGCATAAAAACTGGGCCAAAAGAACGTTGACCATGAGCACATGATATATCCTTTTGAGTTGCAGATGCCATGAGGTTACTATGTGACTTTGGGTATAAGGTCTTACCAGATGAGCTGATGTTACCATAGATGTCATAGATACAGCATTGAATTTAACGCTATGGGCGGGAGGGGTGGCTGCAACAACAGTTTGAGTTGTTGGGGTAATTAGAACCCAAACTTCCACCCTTCCACAATGCCAGTTAAGCTCCTTGAGAGTTTAGATATAGGGTCCCTAGGCAGCATACACTACATAAGGCAGGGTTGATTATGAGTTTATATTAAGGGTCATTTATACCTCACTCCGAACACCGAGCGTTCCCCCAAGGAACAGCTCAGTGGCAAGTCGTACTTGCTGGTTTGTGCCTCATCCATGAAGAGCGCCAACTGTGGCGATGGCGCTTTGTGTATACTTTGGTTTATTCTTCAGGTTGTTTTTGTTTCCCTTCTCCCTGAGTCTTCCCGTTACCTCTCATAAGTCTCTCCAGACCATGGAAGTGATAAGGTGGGCAAGTGCACCATTGTTATGGGACCATGACTAATTCCCTCACTATACTGTCCTTGACTGTCAAGGACCTTAGTAGCCCCCACAAGAGAAGGCTAGCATCTCAAGAAATACATACACCCAAGGCAGCTATAGTATGCTTACAGGAGACCCACTTTTGTGTCCGTAACTAATCTAAGCTTATCATTAAGCAGTACACCCAAGCTTTTCATGTTATTTCCCATACCAAATTGAAAGGAGTCTATTAATTTTCAAAGTGACTGGGTCTTCTCCCTTACCAAAGAGTATGTAAGTTGGGATGGTAGATTGTTAATAGTGGTGGGCTCTCTAAATGACCCTAAATTAACTGTGGCATACCTATACGCCCCAAATGACACCCAAACGTCTTTCCTCAGCATGGCCTTCTGCAAAATAGGATAACACCAGTTGGGAAATGCTGTAGTATGTGGAGACTTCAATTGCACACCTGACCCTTCGCTAGATATCCAGAGAGCCCACAACAGGCCGCCCAAACATAAGTCTGTCTCTCTCCACCAGCACCTAGCCAAGCTGCTACACACTATGATGTTTGGCGCAGCTTATAACCCTGCACAAGGGATTACGCATTTTACTCACCAGTTCATA